TTTTTTTTAATGTGTGTAATGCTAAGCAGCTGTATGTCCTCAAAGCCATTCACAAACAGAAAGCCATAAAAAAGGCAGTAAGATGTTAGGATTTTTGGATCATTTAAAGTCAATTAGATTTCAACAATTTTACCTGTAAAGCTCAAAAGTCTGTGGTAATTGATTTCTGATATCTGCTAAAGAAATTCACCAAGGAAAGGTTACCAGAAAAATTCAGACATGGTTAATCCAACTAACAGTACTTTGCTTCATCTGTCCTTCATCTGTCAGTAGTGTTGCTCACGTGCACGAAACCACCTACACTTCTCATGTGAAAAGCTATGGAATGCTGTACATCCTCAGCAAAATCCTTGTAAGTCCTTCATATGTTTATGCTTTGCTCAGCCAAATAGACTTGTACAGTGACCTTGCAAACAGATGCCTGGTAATGAGGTCATAGAACTGAGTAACATTTTCAGAAAATTGCTTTACGGTGTAATAAATGTTCTGATTAGATTCCTATTTTCACCTTTAACATGCTCAGGTGGTTCAACCTGGGAAACCTAGTCAGGATTATTACCTGTTCTTCAAGGGTCACACCAACAGTCCAAGAATTTTTAGCCTGAAAGATACTTTAAACAAACTATACATTGTAAAAATCTTAAATAATTCTGAAATCTTACTGTTGGCCTTCTTTCAGCTTCTCCTTAAACCTGACCTATTTCCTATTTCAGTTTCAATTTACTCTCAGTATGAAGTGTCTGGTTCAGTGATTCTTCTATGACAATACCCTTGTTTGACATCTGCAGAGATGAAACTAATTTCGTGTACTTTAAAATAAGCACAGTGTAACTTGAGGCAAATTGGGTTAACATTATGCTATGTTCAGCATATTTAAGGACCATTTCTAGTGAATACAGGCTCCAGGATGGGGTCTCCAACATTCCTATACTCATGATGAGAATGGTGACAGTTAGCTCATATACAGGGATGTTATAGATAAAAGAATCACAACATTGCAAACAAGTGGGGACAGTTCCAAATCCAGTATCCGATTTCATTTAGGGGATATAGGTTTCTATTTGTTTTGCAAGAGTGACTTTGATGATTTTTATCAATATTCCTATTTTTGGGGTGGACAGGTGATTTTAAGGTGTTAAACATATAAATTAAAAGAAACAATAAATCACGAAGAAGAGAGCCAGAGAAATACATACAGGATTGTTTTTGTTTTCATGGCATTTTAACAGAAAAGTATCCCTGTGAGATAATGCTTATTTTAATAATGGAGGGTTATGTGTGGGGTCTTATCACCCAGAGGTGAAATAAAATTTTCAGTTAGAAATAAAATTTTTGTGGGCTATTTCCTAGCTAATATAGACATTAGCTCCAGACAGACAGTGACTTGTGCGGGCAAAGGTTGTATCTATCTGGTTCATTACTGCATCCCAGTACCCACCATGTAGCAGGCATTAAATAAACAGATGCTGAATATGTAGGATGCTAAATAACAGTGGAGGCAAAGTATAAGATAAAAATAAATGAGAAGGGAATGAGGATAAGATAATATAGTGGGTACTGTTGATTCCCCACGTGAGAGTAGTAAACACAAGCCAAAATAAAACAAGTACTACACAAAATAGTCATAATATGTACAAAGGTATCTCGCAGAATAGAACAGACTAAATGCAAATGTTAAAATGAGGAGGAAAAATGGGATTTGTATGCTTCCTTGTTTAATACAATCTTCTAAAATGTTTTCTAAATGATTTTTCAACTTGAAATTTAATTTTCAGTTTTTCTCCACAGAACCATGCTGAAGGATGCTTTTAAATATGAAAAATTCAGAAAGCATCTTCATTGAGTGTAAATAAATACATGTACTTGGTTTGCAAAGTCAAAAATGTTAAATTTTATAACAAAAGGCAACAAGCCCTTAGTCCCCTTTTCCTCTTCATCCCTGGCCAATGTAGCCCCTGTAAGCCCTCTACTTTCCTTTTATAACAGATGAGGATTGTAGTTCTCTTCCATTTTTCTTCTCCTTCCCCCATACCCTCAATATGGAAAAACTACATAGTTAAATCTTTAGTCTGTGTTCATTATTATAATGTAAATGCAGTCATACTCAATTATATTTCCTTTCTTATGTAACTTTTTTTCCCCCAGAGTTAATGATCACGCCTTTTTTTCTTTTTCATTGTCTTCCCCTCTTCCTCCTTACATTGCCTCCATGTTTTTTTCATGGTGCTCAGGGAAAATGTGCAGATGCATGGGCACCAGCTGCCTATAGCCAATGTGTAATCTGGTTGAAACATGCCCTCTCACTGGTTGTATTTTTTATTATTTATTTATTTTTATTTATTTATTTATATATTTTTGAGGCGGAGTCTTGTTCTGTCACCAGACTGGAGTGCAGTGGCGCAAACTCAGCTCACTGCAACCTCCGCCTCCTGGGTTCAAGCAATTATTCTGCCTCAGCCTCCCGAGTAGCGGGGACCACAGGTGTGTGCCACCACGCCTGGCTAATTTTTGTATTTTTAGTAGAGATGAGGTTTCACCATGTTGGCCAGGATGGTTTTGATCTCTTGACCTCGTGATCCACCCGGCTCAGCCTCCCAAAGTGCTGGGATTACAGGTGTGAGCCACTGCATCTGGCCTATTTATTTTATTATTAGTATTTTTTGAGATGGAGTTTCACTCTTGTCACCTAGGCTGGAGTGCAATGGCTTGATCTCGGCTCACTGCAACCTCTACCTCCCAGGTTGAAGCAAGTCTCCTGTCTTGGCCTCCTGAGTATCTGGGACTGCAGGCGCCCACCATCACACCCAGCTAATTTTTTGTATTTTTAGTAGAGCCGGATTTTCCCCATGTTGGCAGGGCTTCTTGAACTCCTGACCTCAGGTGATCTACCTACCTCGGCCTCCCAAAGTGCTGGGATTAAATGTGTGAGCCACTGTGCCTGGTCTCTCACTGGTTTTAGTATTATCCCTGCGCAGCATGAACAATCCTCTTGTCTTTGTATGTCTAGAGATATCTCTCCTGGCACCTTTCATCCACCACAGCCAGTTTTGGCCGGCTGCACTTTGGACTTGCTGTGTGGTGTTCTCTCTGGGAGGTTTTGTCATCTCTTTTCTGTGATGAATAACTTGTTTCCCAGATCTCATGGGTTTCCATTTTTGTGGACCATTCCCTAGCTCTGTGAGCATAACTGTCCTGACAAAAGATGACCGGTAGGTAAATCTTGTGACTGTGCATGCCTAGAATTAAGAAATTTCTTAATTCTAAGTTCACACATTTGAGGACTCGACTGTTACAGTACTTGAGGGTGAAAATCACGATGGTATCATGAATGGTATTACTCCATCTTCAAGCATTCGTTGTCACTGTTTAGATATTTAACGCCATTCTGATTCTACATCATTTAAATGTGATATGCTTTTTATAATTGGAATCTTTATGAATTCTCGCCTTATCACTGGTGTTTCAGGATACCCAATGACTTCACTTAGAATCAGTCATCCTTTTCACTCATTGTGTTAAGTACTTTGTGGGTCCTTTCAATCTGAAGATTCATATTCTTCAGTTCTGGGAAATATTACTGTATTATTTCTTTGATAATTACAACTATTCCCTCTTTTTAGAATTCCCAGTGGCTGGATTATCTCTTGGATAATCTTTTTTAGCAGATATGAAAATCAGGAATGCATTTTCACTAAGCAAGAAATAAAAAGCAAAATGAACTTCTAAAATAAAACATAGTCCTTTAAGCTGAAAAATTTGCTATTTCTGTATTCATTTATAAACCTATCCTAATAAAAGAAAAAGCCTTTAAAAGCTAAAGAAGAGAAAAACTATACTATATTGAAGTGCTGATCATTAATAATCACTAATAATAGAGTTGTTTTATATGTGTAGTGCTGCATAGTTAATACATTTCCATTTAACCCTCAATGGAATGCTATTAGGTATATAATTTGAATGTTCCTTCTTGTTAATATATTCATTTTGATACTTGAGCCAAAGACCTCTCAGAAAAGTGAAAGTGCCCTCATTTCATATCCCTTCGCCATTAGTTATATAAAATCACCATTTAACTAGAATATTTATTTCCATAGCATTGTTTTAGTTCAAGACAACGAAAAGAGCCTAACTTCAAAGCAGAATACTATTCAGTCTCAATTTAACTTAATAGCCAAAAACTTAACTTTTCACTTGAATCTTGAATGGAGATAGACACATGATATTTATGTTTATTGGGCTCCTACTATATGCAAGCAAGCACTGTGCTTTTATACATTCTCACAGATATATTACCCCCATTTTATACATGAAGCAACTAAGGAACACAGAAGGGTATTTTCTTTCCATACCAAACACACCAAAACCAATTATGCTACAGTATTTAAAATAAACCACACAAATTACAACATGCAAAGAAATCCAAAACCATGATGCAAATTTTTATGGAACGCATTCATTTGATAACTCGGCTTGCAAACACAACAAATGACATTAGTAATTGACTAAGTATAAGCTCACATTTTAAGAACAGACTTTTTCATGCCTTATTTTGAATAATCAGTTACCTCAGATTGATTGAAGTAGAGGTGCAGAAGTAAGCCAGAAATCCTACCAAGATATTGCCATTGAGAAGAGACAGAAAAAGAGAGAGAGAAAGAACACCAAAGACAGAGAAAGAAACAGTGGTCATCTTTACTTCAGGTGATTTACTCAAACAACTTTAAGGTCATTAAGTGGGACAATTATGACTAAATGACATTTGTAGGTATGTATTATTTATTATCTACCTCTCATTTTGTGATCAATTAAGAGATTCAAAATAAGCAGAAAAAATATAAAATTAAAATATCTTTAAAATTATTTATTTGTTTTCCAGTATTAGAAAAATAAGCATACAGCAAGATTCTATCACAATTTTATAATGGTTTGAAATAAAAAGCCACCTTACTTTATTTGCTGACTTAATCTGACTGGATTAAAAAGGTAAATGAAGAAGTTACCTTCACTGCTGCAGTAACTGCAGCGGTAGCTGCCAAGTTTAAACCTTGCCGTCCAAAGTTTACCATGGTTTCATAGCCTCGTTCCTTTGCTTGCACAATATAATCATCAATCTCCTGGGGTAAAAAGCCAGAGATATCAGTTTTACTCAAAAACAGTGTTAAGAAGCCCCAACCTAGAACATTCTTCCTATAATAGTTTCATGAATTTTATAGCATTAGCATGTGTTAATAGGCATTTCTTTCCTTCCTTCCTTCCTTCCTTCCTTCCTTCCTTTCTTTCTTTGTTTCTTTCTTTCAGAAAGGGTCTCATTCTTTTGCCTAGGCTGGAATGCAGTGGCATGGGACAATAAGTACGCACCACCATGACTGAATAACTTTTAATTTTTTTGTAGAGACAGAGTCTCATTATGTTGCCTCAGCTGGTCTCAAATCCCAGGCTTAAGAAATCCTCCCACCTTGGCTGGTCTCAAATCCCAGGCTCAAGAAATCCTCCCACCTTGGATTTTCAAAGTGTTGGGATGACAAACATGAGCCACTGCACCTAGCCTAGGTGTTTTCCTTTCTGTTTTTGAGATGGAGTATTGCTCTGTCACTCAGGCTGGAGTGCAGTGGTGCGATCTCTGCTCACTACAACTTATACCTCCAGAGTTCAAGCAATTCTCCCGCCTCAGCTTCCTGACTAACTGAGATTATAGGCAAGCACCACCATACCTGGCTACTTTGTCTGGTATTTTTAGTAGAGCCAGGGTTTCACCATGCTGGCCAGGCTTGTCTCAAACTCCTGGCCTCAAGTGATCCACCCACCTCAGCCTCCCAAAGTGCTGGAACTACAGGTGTGAGCCACCACACCTGGCCTCAGCCTAGGCATTTCTAAAAATAATTTATGGAAATAAGTTATATATCTTACCCTTTCCTTTGAAGAAAGAAGTGGATGAAGGAATTTTCTATATATTAAACTTGCTCCTTTGGTATAGGGAGAAAGCAGCCATATGACAAAAGCAATCTTCAGCTCATAGTACAGGGGAAACCTAATAAGAAAAACATTTGGAAAAAAAACTGCCAGTGAAAAAATAAACCACTGTGGAAATCACAAAAACACTTTTTATAAAATTCAGTCACTATGCTAAGCTTTGTTTTTTTTTTTTTTGAGATGGAGTTTTCTTTTCTTTCTTTTTTTTTTTTTTTTGAGATGGAGTTTCGCTCTTGTTACTCAGGCTAGAGTGCAATGGCGCGATCTCGGCTCACCGCAACCTCCGCCTCCTGGGTTCGGGCAATTCTCCTGCCTCAGCCTCCTGAGTAGCTGGGATTACAGGCACGCACCACCATGCCCAGCTAATTTTTTATATTTTTAGTAGACTTGGGGTTTCACCATGTTGACCAGGATGGTCTCAATCTCTTGACCGTGTGATCCACCCGCCTCGGCCTCCCAAAGTGCTGGGATTACAGGTTTGAGCCACCGCGCCCGGCCCTGAGATGGAGTTTTGCTCTTGTTGTCATCTCGGTTCGCTGCAACCTCTGCCTCCTGGGTTCCAGTGATTCTTCTGCCTTAGCCTTCCCAGTAGCTAGGATTACAGGCATGTGTCACCATGCCCAGCTAATTTTTGTATTTTCAGTAGAGATGGGGTTTCACCATGTTGGCTAGGCTGGACTCGAACTCCTGACCTCAGGTGATCCAACTGCCTTGGCCTTCCAAAGTGCTGGGATTATAGGCATGAGCCATAGTGCCTGGGCTATGCTAAGTTTTAGAATGCAAAAGTTAGTGATCAGGAGACAACTGTGTTTGAATAATCTTGTTTCTACTATTGATCAGTTCATTAAAGTGTTACCTGAGAGATTCCCCTGCTCTAATACAAGAATCTTCCTTTGTAGTAAGCATAGGAAAGCTGCCAAACTGAATGCAGCAGTTAAGAGAGGGCACTAATACTATTTATCCAGTACCTAAGGTATGCCCAGGCTATCTGCAGAGCCAAACTGCCATGGAAGTACATAATCTACCTCATATGATAGCTGTGCCTGTCAGAGCACGACTTCATACACTTCAAGTGCACAATGTTTACCCCATACACACATCTTCATCTTTTTCATAACTCCCCAAAAATATCCCTTCCAATTTCATTTGGCCAGAATTACAGCACTCTGCAGACCTAAATTGTTCACTTGCAAGGAAAATCGCAAGAAAAATGGAAAGTATTACAATGGGTCTTCCCTGTTGGTCCAGTATACTTCCTCAACCAATGACTGTGGCTTTAACCATGTGACTTGCTTTGGCTAGCAGAAAATGAATGTGATACATGTCACACGCAAGCAGAAGCTTTAAACACCCTTTGACTTCCTCACTTCCTCACCCTCAACCTCGTGCTTTAAGCTCTTGCCTTCTAACATGAGAACAGCTGCTTCTTCAGCCTTGGTTTAAGGGGCCAGGTGAGGATTACACACCTGTGATCCCAGCACTTTGGGAAGCCAAGCTGGGAGGACTGCTTTAGTGCAGGAATTCAAGGGTGCAGTGAGCTATCATCATGCCATTGCACTCTGGCTTGGGCAACAGAGCAAGACCCTGTCTCTAAAACAACAACAAAGGTGACCTGACCCCAGCAAAGACGCAGCCAAACATTTTCCATCATGTAGCTTGAGCAAAAAAATCAAAGTTTGCTTTTCCAACCCACTGTACTTTTATGGTTGTTTCTTGCTGCAGCAAAAGTTCTCTAATGTATAATGAGAGGCTCAATATCTTGTCCACGACAAGGAACACATAAATGTAGTCCATTTATCACTAGGATAAATGATAACTGAGCAAATTTGGGTTCTTCTGCCAAGGCAGGCAGGTAGAGGGCAGTGAGGATGACTTACTGTGTAGGTCACAAAGAGGTCTGTGCCACACTGCAATTACAGGAGTTTCTGGATTCAGTTGTTCATGTTAAACATTTCCTATACTGTTCACTTTTAAATAACATATATAGGCTACATTTGCAATCAGAAAAAAATGAAGTCTTAAAAAAAGAACTTGGAAACTTAGATGTAGCATGGTTTGTGATCTATGTTCTGTCACTCAAAAACAAAGACACCTCCCCAACCAAACCCCTATATCAAAAATATAACATATTAATGAATGAGCTTTGGGGCACAGGAAGGGAAATTTTCACAGTATTTCAAATCAGAAGAGAGATACAGCGATGTTTGCAAATAAAGGAAGGTTGTTTAGAATATTTTAGTATGATGACTTCTATTTTTTTTTTCTAGCAAATCCAATAGGACCTAATGTACTACAAGAATAGGAGAAAGCAAAATGGGAAAGACAGCATAAGGAGAGAATTGAAAAGGTTTGAAACAGACCAGGCAGAATGTAAGTAGACACCGACCACGAGCAAGTAAAAGGAATGAGGTTCAAACTGATATCTATGTGAGCAGTTGATTAATTTTTTCAGCTGAATTTAGCAGCCCAGTTAAAAAAATAAAAAGGAATCATTTTGGCTGGGTGCCGTGGCTAATGCCTGCAACCTCAGCACTTTGGGAGGCCGTGGTTGGTGGACCACCTGAGGCTGGGAGTTCGAGACCAGCCTGGCCAATATGGTGAAACCCTGTCTCTATTAAAAATACAAAATTAGTCAGGCTATGGTGCCATGCGCCTGTAATCCCAGCTACTCAGGAGGCTGAGGCAGGAGAATCGCTTGAACCTGGGAGGTGGAGGTTGCAGTGAGCTGGGATCACGCCATTGCACTCCAGCTTAGGCAAGAGAGCAAGACCCTGTCTCAAAAAAAAAAAAAAAAGAGTAATTGTAAGGCTAATATAGACTGAAGGTTTGTGTGTCAAGGGCAGATGAAGATATTAGCAAAGTAGTAAACCAAAATATCTTAAAAAGAGAAGTTCTCTAAGTGATGGCAGGGTTTCGATGGAAATGCACTACTGAAATACACCACAGGGAGATTCGAGTTGTCCAGTTAAGTACTGCTCCTTGGTAAAATGTTAAAGCCTTGAGGATATAAACATGCTTTAATTTTGCCTTATCTATTTGGAACAGAGCAGCCAGGAAGCTGGTGTTGAGTGGGTGTCCATGTGGGTGCTGACGTTTTCCAGTTGGAATGTTTGTAGATGAGAGTTTTAAGGCTAGGGAGGGGGGTGCTAAAACCAGATGCTGTGGGCTTCAAAAGAGGAGTCATTTAGGAAGTGATACAGGGAAATTGTCTGAAGTCATCAGTACAGAAAAGGATGATGACAATCAACTTTCCCTATTCCAAGATACTGGGGGAAGGTGTGTGGGAGGTGAACAGGGAGTGGCGTATGGGGAGGAAAATGAGCTGCCTTTATTTGATGGAGGCTAAAAGGAAAGTAGTGTTCTATGGGAAAGCAGATGCCAAAAACAAGTTGCTGGATAATTAGGTAACTTGATCAAAATCACTTAGTAGCAAGAGCAGGGTAAGAACTCAGGACACCTGATAATGAATCTGTAGTTTGGCCACTTCCCAATAGTAAAACTTACCAAGCAACTGTTTGATCTGCTACTGTTTCAATCACAGTATAGAGAGCAAAAACAATCCAGTACATCATCCATCGAACCTGGAAATAATAAAAATGCTCATGAAACAACAGACGAAAATTATTTGCAACTCCAAATAGTTATATGTATGTATGTGTTTCTGGATACATAGTATTTTGGGTCAAATGCAGAAAGTGATGGTTTAATTTTCCACAGGTTTTATGTTTGAGTTCTTTTTTTTTTTTTTTTGAGACGGGGTCTCACTCTGTCACCAGGCTCGAGTGCAGTGGCGTGATCTTGGCTCACTGCTACTTCTGCCTCCCTGGTTCAAGCAATTCTCCTACCCCAGCCTCCTGAGTAGCTGGGACTACAGGTGCACACCACCACATCCAGCTAATTTTTGTATTTTTAGTAGAGATGAGTTTTCACTATGTTGGTGGTATGGTCTGGATCTCTCGACGTGGTGATCTGCCAGCCTCGGCCTCCCAAAGTGCTGGGATTACAGGTGTGAGCCACTGTGCCCGACTATGTTTGAGTTCTTCACATTACTACATCAACAGTCTTGGGATAGAAAGAGCAAAGATTAATAAATCTCTGGGAATTGATACAATATAATCTAGGAATCTAAATCAGGGAATTGGAAAAACAGGAAATATTTTTCTTAATTGGAAGAATGTTCTTTAAAAGATGTTATCTACTTGCTTCTTTATGAAGACTATATATTATTTATTTATTTTTATTTTTTGTAGACAGGGTCTCGCTCTGTTGCCCAGGCTGAAGTGCAGTGGTACAATTATGATCACAGGTCACTGCAGCTGCGACCTTCCACGCTCGAGTGATCCTCCTGCCTCAGCTGCCCGAGTAGCTGAGACTACAGTTGTGCACCACCACGCTTGGCTAAATTTTTGGTTTTTGTAGAGATGAGGTTTTGCCAAGTTGCCGAGGCTGGTATCGGACTCCTTGGGCTCAAGCGGTCTGCCTGCCTTGGCTTCCCAATGTGCTGAGATTACAGGCATGACCTTAACTATTTAATTGTTACATAAGTAATATAGTATAATATGATAAGACTACATTTAATCTTAGTCTTGAAAATTTTATATTTCTTCCCTATTTCCTGATATACAGAAATTGTTCAGAAAGCCAAGAACAATCCTGCGCTTCTTACTTCTATTAATGATACATCCCTAGCCGGGCTTGGTGGCCCACGCCTGTAATCCCAGCACTTTGAGAGGCCAAGGTGGGTGGATCACAAGGTCAAGAGGTCCAGACCACCCTGGCCAACATGGTGAAACCCCATCTCTACTAAAAATATAAAAATTAGCTAGGTGTGGTGACGCACGCCTGTAGTCCCCGCTACTTGGGAAGCTGAGGCAAGAGAATCACTTGAATCCAGAAGGTGGAGTTTGCAGTGAGCCAAGATTTCACCACTGCATTCCAGCCTGGCAAAAGAGCAAGACTCTATCTCAAAAAAAAAAAAAAAAAAAAAAAAGACGCATCCATAACGCTAGTTACCCAAGTGGAAGGTGTAAGTAAGGTTAGTCTTCTTCCTCTTCCCCTAATGTAAGCCTGTAATCTCCCACACATCTTTCTCCTTCTTCCGCTCTAATTCCACAATTATAGTTCAGAATGTTTTAATCTCTTGTCCAAATCAGGGCATGCTGAATGGTCCCTGGCACACTGCCTTCTCTTGATATCTATTCTCCTCATAGAATGCTGCCAGATTACTGTTTCCTGAGTTGATTCTCCCAAATTTTACTTTTTCATCTACCTCAGTACATTGCTTTTTGTCTCTCAAGTGCACTGCAGTTTTACTAACAATTAAAATCTTTGCTCTTCTGTGCAATAATAATAGCAAATACACAATGCCATGCCAATCAGGGGGCTAGAAATTATGTTGATAAATATACCACATAAATTAATTCATTTAATCTCTGTAACAAACTTTACAAAGTAGGAAATATAATTACTTCCATCATAGATAAGAAAACAGTGGCACAGAGAGGTAAAAGAGAGGTCATTTGGCTAGGATTTGGGTCCAGGCTGCCTGACTCTGGAATTGGTTAACCCATTATATTAACCCATTATACCAAGCAGAGAGAGAAGATGTGAGAAAATGCCCAATGTGGGGTCCAAGAATGACTACCACTTTTCATGTTCTTACCTCATCAGTGACAAAAAAATTTAGATCCTTATATGTAACTGGAAAATGGACCTATTAGTTTTAATACAGATGTTTGTTTGGGTATTTCATAGGCAATATAAAACAATAACTCAAGTAGCTTTTTCAATTTTCTATTTACATGAACAAATCAATAGAAAATAGCCATGAATAACTTCTGAAGCAGTTGTATTGTGAAATAAGAATACTACCAATTTGTTCTAATTTATAGAGAATCCTGAAAGCTTAAAAAATTTCCCAAAGCAAATAATACGGTACATTATCTGTAGTTGAAATATAAGGAAATTGATTTATAAAATTATCTTAAATGTTTAAAAAGTTAAACTAATGTTCTCTTTAGTTTTTTACTTTTCATGAGTTCTTTTCAATCTCTCACCGTTCCCAATCCCAAGCTTTTGTCCAAGTATGGGGATTTTCCTCCAGGTCTAAAATCCTACGTGGGTCTCTGCACGTGTTATCTTTTCTTCCCTTCCCCCACCTTACTCATTTCTAAAAGAGGAAATGATGCTTTTACATGAGTTAATTTCCTCAGCCTTTCCAAATCCAAACACTAATTTAGTACTTTCACTTCTCAGATTATCTTTTTTTTTTTTTGAGATGGAGTCTAGCTCTGTTGCCCAGGCTAGAGTGCAGTGGTGTGATCTCACCTCACTGCAACCTCCACCTCCCTGGTTCAAGCAATTCCCCTGCCTCAGCCTCCCAACTAGCTGGGATTACAGGCACATGCCACCACACCTGGCTAATTTTTTTTGTATTTTTAGTAGAGACAGGGTTTCACCATGTTGGCCACACTGGTCTCAAACTCCTGACATCAGGCAATCCGCCCACCTCGACCTCCTAAAGTGCTGGGATTACAAGTGTGAGCCACCATGCCCAGCCCATAAAGTTGTCTTTTAGAGTCAATCATGACTATAGGCCTCCCTCGCAAAAAGAAATGAAGAAAAAAATGACTACAAACTAAACAATGTGCTTTTGTTAAGCTAGCAGGGATTTTGGGAGTCATCAAGCTTTTTAAAACTAAACAATCTTTTACTGAAAACAAACAAACAAAAAAAAACACGGGGCGCGGTGGCTCACGCCTATAATCCCAGCACTTTGGAAGGCCGAGGCGGGTGGATCACAAGGTCAAAGAGATCGAGACCATCCTGGTCAACATGGTAAAACCCCGTCTCTACTAAAAATACAAAAAATTAGCTGGGCATGGTGGTGCGTGCCTGTAATCCCAGCTACTCAGGAGGCTGAGGCAGGAGAATCGTCTGAACCCAGGAGGCGGAGGTTGCGGTGGGCCGAGATCGCGCCATTGCACTCCAGCCTGGGTAATGAGCGAAACTCTGCCTCAAAAACAAACAAACAAACAAACAAAACAAAACAAAAAAAAACCAAAAACGAAACTGTAAATACATTATAAGAGAACTGTTCTGGCTGAGTCTCCCATTCAACCTACCTTAGGACTCTTGGGGAGACTCTGAGAAACCCTTGTGCTCTATAAGTATGGCTGGAAAAACAAGTAATATAGTGAACTCCTCTCATTTTACAGAGTGCCAAAATCAATAAGTTGCTCAAGATCACTGCACTAGGAAATGGCTGAAGGAGGCACAGTCCATCTTGAAGCCCAAAGGATGCAGCTTTTTTTTTTTTTTTTAATACTTTAAGTTCTGGGGTACATGCCATGGTGGTTTGCTGCATCTATCACCCGGTCATCTACGTTAGTTATTTCTCCTAATGTTATCCGTCCCGTATTTCCCCATGCCCTGCTATCCCTCCCCTAGTTCCCCACTCCACCGACAGGCCCAGTGTGTGATGCTCCCCTCCCTGTGTCCACGTGTTCTCATTGTTCAACACCCATTTATGAGTGAGAACATGCGGTGTTTGTTTTTTTGTTCTTGTGTCAGTTTGCTGAGAATGATGGTTTCCATTTTTATCCCAATACTGTGCAGCCACAAGAAAGGCTGAGTTAATATCCTTTGCAGGGATGCAGATTTTATTTATTTATTTATTTTTTTGAGATGGAGTCTCACTCTTGTCATCCAGGCTGGAGTGCAGTGGCGGAATCTGCAACCTCTGCCTCCTGGGTGGCTCACTGCAACCTCTGCCTCCTGGGTTCAAGTGATTCGCCTGCCTCAGCCTCCTGAGTAGCTGGGATTACAGGTGCGCGCCACCATGCCCAGCTAATTTTTTTGTACTTTTAGTAGAGCTGGGGTTTCACCATGTTAGCCAGGATGGTTTTGATCTCCTGACCTTGTGATCCACCCACCTCAGCCTCCCAAAGTGCTGGGATTACGGGCGTGAGCCACCGTGCCAGGCCGGATACAGCTTTTTAAACCACCAGACCAGTCTGTCTGGTTCTTTAGGATTCTCTGGTTGTTTCTCTCTCCAGTACTCAGCACAGAGACCTCAGTGTAAACATTATCACCTCCTTTCCCAGTAAAGTGGAGGCTTAAGTGAAATAAGGCTCTCTTTACAGAAAATTTAAGAAATTCTCAGAAAAATAAAAGCATTTAAGTAACTGCTTGTTATTTTTCATTATTTTACATTTTTCATTATTTCACAACTGTCTGGATGGTTGTGATCTTCCAAGGGGATAACAACTGTATGTAATGCTCCATCAGTTCTTCTGATTTACTTGTTAATAGGGTTGAGTAGATGCAAAAGGATTGTACAGATAGTAGCCATCTGCTGATATTCCCTGAATGACGAGTTGTGGAATGAATTAGAGCTGCTGCATATTCCGCAGATTTCAAAAGTAGCTGTGCTTCAGTTAAGTGCTTATTCAATTTTCAGATGAAGTCATCAAATTTATTTTAAAACTCACAAAATAAGCAAGTGCTTTAAAGTATATATATTTTTTCTAAGAAAGCAAAAATTATATCTGTTTGGTTGTGAGACTATTTAATAATGTCA